GTATAGGTTGTTTATAACTAAATTGCTCGCTTTTAGAGATTGGATTGTTATAGTTGCCCTTGGGGCTATTGTGGTTAGCTGCAGGAATGCGATCTATGCCTAGAAGGGCTATGATCTGCCTACAAGGTTATATTATATGGATGCCTAAAAGGGTTATGAGTTGCCTACGGGGCTATATTGATGTCTAAAAGGGCTATGAGTTGCCTACAGGGCTATATTGACGCCTAAGAATGCTATGTGCTTCCTACAGGGTCATGTTGTTGCCTAAGAGGGCTATGAGTTGTCTATAAGCTATGTTGATGCCTAAGAGAGCTATGTGCTGCCTATGGGGCTATATTAATGCCTAAGAAGATTATGTGACTGCCTACGGGGCTAGGGGACTCCGATAGGGGTATATAGGCTGATTGGCACCTTCCGGGCTTATGGGGGCCTGAGTAGGTGGTCTTGTGTGCTGTTTGTACCTGTCGAGCTTATGGGGGCTTGGGTAGGTTGTTGTTTTATTATTTTTGATAAGTTTAGATTTAGGAGCAGGTCAGTACACTTATCTTATCCTTGATTTATTTATCAGATTATTCCAGTATATCAGGATACCTCCTCATAGTCTATTGCCTTTCATACTCTGTACATTATTTTGTACTGACGCCCCATTGCCTTGGGGGCGCTGCATTCATGCATACAGGTCCTGACAGACGACCGAGTAGACCTCCTCAGCAGCAGGATTGACTTTTATCCGGTTGGCTAGCCCCTTTCCTCCGGAGCTGCCAGAGTTGGGAGGTTTGTTACCTTTTGTTGTATATATCTTTATGGGTAGGCTGGGGTCCTGTCTTGCTAATCTTTACTAATTTTAGAGGCTTGCAGACTAGTGCGTGGGTGTATAGCTACGCTATGGCCATACTGGCCTATGTTGTTGGTTTGCTGAAGCTTGTGAGTTGTTTGATGTATTGTATTAGTATATACCTACTTTTAGTTTTGGTATAGATATCATGGTGGCCTCGACGGTCCAATCAGAACTTCTGTGCTAGTTAGCTATTTATTTATATGATCTCCTAGGAGTAGCTGTTTCTTTTATAGATCAGTTGACAGGGGCCTTGCCGGCCGAGAGCTTAGTTTTAAGCCGAGATATACTTGTTTGTTTTCTTGATTGTGTGTGGCTTCCATGCACTAGTAGCAAAATGGTTCAACAGGGTCGGCTCGGGCCTGAGTTTTGGCATTAGGAGCCAGTTGCGCCCCTCGAGTTTGGGGCGTGACAAATAGTTTGCTATTATATACAATTTTTCCAATTATATACACCATGTAATTATGCTTTTTCTCCTTCTTATTGGCATGCTTTTTTATTTTATTTTATTTTGCTAAATAAGTTGTCATTTTTTTCTGAACTATTACAGACAATAAAAAGAATTGAGTTACATAATAAATCAGTTTGTACATTAGAAAAAATAGAAAAGACACATCATTCATACCCTATTTGTGAAAATCGAATAGAAGAGACTACAGTTAGGTGAAACAGTAGATCCAATTGAATGTAATTTTCAATAGTTTAACAAATGAAATCTTTTTGGAGCTGTTCTTTGTCTAATTGGGTTTAATAATAATCTTGTTGAACAACGTTCCTTACTTGCATTGATATTCTCCATAATATCAGAATTGAGCTTTTTGTCGCCTGTAATGGACAAGAAAAAAGACGTTTGCAAAAAGAGACTTGTGTCAATAATTAAGAAGAGGAAAAGGCATAATTACATGGCATAAAACTAAATAAACTTTATAATTTTGTTTATTTGGGTTCATGATTACATGACATGAAAAGGTGATTTGATTTGTCATATGAAATTTATTTTAATGATAAATATTGCTAAATGATTTTTGAAGATAAATGTTAAGTTGAGTGATTTTTTTGATACAAAACAAAGTTTACTGACTTTACTAGATAATTTTTTATACTTCAATGACCTTTTAAGATATTAACTCCAAGATCATCATATATATTATAGACAAATATATTTGTCATAACTACTGCTTTTTGAAGTTCTTTTTTTTTTGTAATTAGAGGGGATTGGCAAGGGTGGATCGATAAATTCACTTTTTTTAACCTACAATGTCTTCTTAGTTAGTTATACATAAGATTTAATACCATGGGGTTATCTATGTAAAGACAAAAGTACCCTCAAATCTTTTTCATCATTTTATTTATTTTCTTGATTTTATATTTTATATTTGTATTAGTAGATTTATTTAAATAAATTAGCTAACAAATTTTATTATTTAGATAGAGTTGTTTGTTGTTAAATAAATCCAATACAAATTAATACAATATTTGAAATAGAGAGAGAGTTTTCTAATTATTTGTATTTTGAACAATTTATAAAATTGCATACATATTAAAACTATAACTGGTAATTTTTATGTGTAAATGTAAATGGTTTATTTGATTTTACTATTGTTTACCATTTTTTTCGATATTAGGACAACAAAATTGTTCTTCTCCTAGCTAGTTATAAGGCCATAAAAAATAATACTGTCCGGCAATTATCTACCTTGACCTAATTACATGAAACAAAAAATCCCATAATAATTCAAGGGTATAATTGGAAAGAAGTATTTTGTCACGACCCAGACCGTCATGATTGGCACCCACACCATCCGGTGGGAGAACCACTACTACAACCCAAACTAAGCAACTAAACCAAAACTAAGACAATTAAGTTACTGAAGCAAGTTAATTAACTAAACAAATGCGGAATTAAATACCTAGAGCCTGAAAGTCATTGTACCAAAACTCTACTAACGACAAGTCTAAGAACAAGAGTTACAACCCCGAAACTAAATAACACCTTAACAAATAGTCTAAGTCCGAAAAGAGTGGACTTAAACAAGAGAGATCCATGGCAGCCTGAAAGAACTGGCTCACCCTTGAATTCGGTCACGCTCATTAGTCACCCAGCCGAAGTCTATCAATAGCCACCTGAAGATGCCCTGTACTCAACAAAGAAAGAGCAAGTGCAGTATCAGTACACAACCACAGTGTACTGGTAGGATCACGTTGCTATCCCACTAAGTGTAACATACATTAGTCAATACAACAATATAATCACATGCACATATCAAACATATACAATATCATCAACTTATACGAACAATGAACAACTTCACGATTCTCACATATCACAGTTATATCAATTTAGAGCAAC